TTTAACTTTTATCCGAACCACAATTCACCCAGTGTTTTTCAGAAATGTCTAGCTTGTCATTGTACAAACCTTGCAACTCCATAGTCAATGATGGACATCTACTGCATCGTTATCTTAGTTTTAAGATATTTTTATTTACACTCTTGAGTTGTTATATGTATTTTTTTTTTTGGATGTTCACATTTGTACAAAAATATTTTTGATACTAGAAACACATGTCCCTCTGTATCTAGTGATTATGAACAGAAGATGAAGAAATTGATACGACAGCATGTTGATCACAGTTATTATGTTTTGTCAACGTTTTTTTTTTTACCTGTAAATATTGAGAGAGTCATAACTTCACCTTAATTGAATTCATTTGTTGTAGAAGAACTCTATGCTATTGAACAAAAATATTTAGAACAATAACTAGCACAGTGTTATTGTGTGCATCAACTAGTCTCTTGTGTGCTCAATACCATTTTGCTTTCTCAATTTAGTTTATACATTTACTTTGGAATTAACATTTTTAAAAAGGTATTTTTGAATAGAAAACAACAAACTAAATTTTATATTTTCACCCAACTTGATCATCCTTTTTGTCAGAGTCTGAATACTCCTCAGCCAAACAGGCAAATAGTTTGACAAATCTTCACCTACTCAGTGGTGGTTCTTGTACTTTATTTGAGGCTGTACTAGCAGATCAAGGCAGGACTGTAATTCAGGAGTTCATAAGTTGTAAATACAAAGTTTCTTGCTGTTTCTCTAATTCTGTTGGCAGTTGTTGAAGTCCTCTTTGAAAGCCATGAACCATTTTGTAATTCCAGTCACACTCAAGGTTGTGACATTGTATATAGGAAGCTTTATCCAAAGCATTTGTATGTTTTTCTTACCATTTCTATGTGTATCCCATGTGTGTGTGTGTCTGTACAGCATACAAGGACTCTTAGTGTACACATTCTGTACATAAAGCCTTTAAACAATGGTACACAGTATGCTTGTCAGTTTACACATTTGCCAGCAGATTTTTTGGTCACCTTTTTTTGTTGGCTGTCAGTTTATGTCAGGAAATAGTGAGGACAAGATTCTAGCAACTACACTTGAAAACAAACATTAGTTCATCTAATTCAGTGATGCTCAAAATACAGCCCATGGGCAAGATCCGGCCCGTGATGTGGTTCCATCCAGCCCGCCAAAATGTCGGCACAAAGTGTAGAAAATCCGCTAAACCCCACCCCCAAAGAAAAAGCTGAAAAATGTCTCTTTACCTACGTTAGGGCCCTCAATTTTTCTCCAATTGATTGGCACCATGACTAACATTTGTGTGTTTATGAGATTGGACTCTTTATGTAGAATTTATCAAAAAATATATAAAAATAGAAAGGACCTAAACTTTTTGGCAGAACCTGATAATAAGCCAATATATTTGAGTTGTAAATAAAGTGTGGCTGTTTTAAAAGAAAAAGAAATGCAAATTATAAAACAAATTTGATGTCATTGGAATAAAAGATTGTTAAACTATGTCTAGAGATTGGAAGATTAATGTTAATATTTACATTAATAGAGACAAGAATATGAGCGTTGGTAAAGCTAGCTAGCTACACTGTTGCTCATATTTTTAATAGAGAAATTAAGCCATTTTCTGACGCATGAAAAAATATTCTTTTAATGAATGTAAATACTAGATCCACAGGTTTCTAATCAAATAGTTTCTGGTCAATTTCATTTCGTTTTTGTACCTTTCCTTTATGTGGCCCGCGACACCAGTGTCGGAAATTAAAATGGCCCACAGGTCCATTTATGTTGGGCATCACTGATCTAATTTAATCAGTTCAGTAAATTCAAAAACAAATTAAATTTTAAATAAAACAGCGTTTTTAATAATGTTTGTTCACTAAACTGCAGTTGCTTTTTATTTTAGTATTATGTTTACATTTATTTTTATGGGAAACCTGTCAAAACTCCCTAATCTCTAGAGATGAAACAGATCACCTGACATTCATGCACTGTGGTATTGTCCTCAACAGGTTTTGTTTTGTTTTTTTAAGTCATATTCCTGTTTTATTAGTTGTGAAACACAATCTATGATTAGAGTCAATGTTTTCAATAAGCAGTCATCAACCCCTCACAAAAGAACATTATTTTGAATGAAAAAGTCTTTTATTTCAATATATATAATCAGCTTCACCTAAACCTTAGACTGTTGAACCATTGGGGTACCACACATGATTATGCATAATACTGAGTTTTCAATAGCTGTCAAAATGTTGTTTTTTTAATCTTATATATTTCTAAGAAATATTTTGGGTATTTGTTTGGTAAGAGTTACTGTTAGTAGAATGGTAAGACATTCAGCTGATTGCCAGTTAGTGTTGATGTTCTGGTTTAGTTTCTTTATTTATTGCTTTACTTTTTTTTTTTTAAATCAATGAGCCATTGTTTCTTGATGTGAAGAATATTTCAAATTCTGTATGTTACTAGTTGTTTAACTTGACAGTCATTGACAAATATCTCCCTAACCTTCAATATATATAGACCCCAAATTTTTTTTTTTTTTTTTCGTTACATTTTCCAGGTTACCAAACTTTAAAAAAATCTATTAAACAGCATAATTATCTTCTTTAATTAATGATTCTGTTTTCCTAAGCATCATGTCATAAAGTAATTAAAGCGAGTAATTAAACCTGAAGAGGAAAAGCCAACACTTTTCACAGTTGTACAGTGCCCAAAGGATTTGTGTATATGCTCAGAGCTCCAATATTACCTAGTAAAATGTGCACAGTGACTGAATGTTTGCTGCCTCAAATTTGTTTGTATATTTTGTTTGTTTGTAAAGAAAAGTTTGTGTTAAAAGTGCTGCCATACACTGAAGAGTTACTCACTATTCCTAACACATTTTTTTTTAGGCGACATTTTTGTTGGTGTCTCACTGCTGCTGATCTGAACCATTACACTGACTTTTGTCTGAACTTTTACATTAGTTTTGTTTCTTTTTCCAAAGTTTGATGAATCATAGGCATTTTGGATTTAGTTTGTTACAAGTCAGTGTATATTTTAAAAGTTTTTGAATATACAGAATGTAGACTAATATTGTTATTGTCTTTTTTTATATATAAAGATAACATTTGCCTATCATGCAGAGTCAGAAATTAAACATTATTTCAGGATAGAAACATTCAAACCAAAACAGGCATTTTAATGTGTATTTCAGACGTGAAATATGTCTTGTACAGAAATTTTGTGTTTGTTTGTTTAATAGAGGCCTTTTTGTTCCCACCATATTGACATAATTCATCTATTAAAATCACTTTTTTTTTTCTTTTGTTATTCTAATATGCTTATATTTCTAAACACTGTGTTTAACACCCATAACAGAAAATGCATTTCTGCCAGCATCAACAAATACACAACAAATTGTGCAATATTGTGGTAGATTTTTTTTTAACTGAGGCAAATAACATGAAAATGTTAAGTCAGAAACTAATCCATGCTTGTACAGATATTTCTATTTTGCATTATTTTGATGTTTGCTTGTGTTTAATATGAATGAAAATCTCTACATGTAAAAAGATATTCAGTTTATTGTGTAATTATCAGCTAATTGTTTGTGTGTAACTTGTAACTCTGCTCCCCCTCTCCATACCCAGGGTTTGCTTCCATCTTGATTCTTGTTGACACCCAACTTTCTGAACTGCTCATTTCCTGGGATTTGTTTGCTCATCAAGGTTAAACAGGCAAATACATTCATTCTGTATGATATCTGACTGGCACACTTTGGGTAGTTGGGTTTTCTTAGAGCTTGCACTTAGGTTTATCTTTGGTTTCACTGCCATCACTACCTACTCCTGCTACAATCAAGTTTAGATTTACCTCTGATACAAGCCAAACTTTTTGTTTTTACAGTGGTAACCGGAAAATGTAGCTTTAAATATGTTTATGTGCAACCTTTTTTGTTTATAGCAACCATAGTCATTCCGTGTGAATTTAATGGAAGGCAAGTTCTTTTCTAGCATTCTAACACTACAGTTCTTGGTTTACTTCACCTAATAATCACAGAGTTGACTAGTTTATATCAGAAGTAGTGACTTGAGATATGTATGTTATTTATTCAGTTTTAAGATATTATGGAAATTATTCAGTGATTCTTATGCAATTTTCAAACATGCAGAATTCACATTTCATGGTTATCTCAATATCTTTATCAATGAATACAAACTATGTTTGCATATACTCATTATGTTGCTGTCATCCATTCACATATTAACATCAGAGATAATTCATCTGTAACTGTTTTTATTTATCTAAGCACAATTCAAGTTTTTTTTAAACATCGTTTCTTCCAGCCTTCCATTACTTTTCATAATTTCGTAAGCACTCTATTTTTTTTATTCACTGTTTTTTTGTTGTTTTTTTTTGTGTGCAACAGCACACATTTGGGCATATTTCTACAAGATAACTTTGAATGGGTTGAAGAGAATTAATGTCTGTAGTGTAACAACACATTGTGTTTAAAAGATAAGGTGAATGCTTGATTCCAGAAATGAAATCTTGTTTATTTTTGAGCTATTAGTCTGTGTGTATTACTTAGTTTCTAGTCAAAATATCTTGTGATTGTCTTGAAGAATATAACAATGAACTGCAACTGATATATATTTTTATTTATGGAGATCACCAATGCTCATTTCTTTATTGATATATAAATTGTTGAGTCTGACATAATGTTGACAGAAAGGGCATGTCACTTCTAGTCCATACTTATCATAAGAGAGATAATAAATAGTTAGCGCCTCTATCATTTTCATTATATCATTTTCATGTTTTCTTTTGTATCTAATTAGGCAAATAAAAATGCAGTTTATTTTTAACAAGTTCAGCTACTAATTGGTAGATTATCAGCCAAATGGGCATACCTTAAGGCATTCTTTTCTGGGCCAAGAAGCAACTATAATTTCTTGTATTTATGTTAAGCTTTTGCAAATATCTTTTTTTTTTTTTTTTTTTGCTGCAGATTTATTGTCTAGAGATCTTTGAATGAACATCCCATTGTTTATTACAAGACCTATTACCACTGAAGCAGATTTTTGTTGTTTTCTTTTCCCTAACTAATGTCAGTTACCCAGTAGAGCTGAGCAGAAGTCTAAAATCCCATTATTGGGATTTTTACTCTAAACACTTAGAGCATCCCTTTCTCACAGTTAAAAATAAATTTAATGTAAAAACAAATGAATATATGATCAGATTAGGTTGAGGCTTTGATTTTGTTGATTCTTGTGTATTAATATAATGCCAATCTAATTGCTCTATGAAGTTGAATCTACTTTGAATTCCCAGTGCACTGTTTCTATCTACATTTCCACATCCCATTTGGTCCTGCCAATTCAACATGTTCTGCTATGTGCCTCTCTCTACTCGAGCAATTGGACACCCAGTCAATGACAGCACATTGGGTCCTCCAAGTCATGGATTTTGTTTCTATATTGAATAGTATTTCTCTCTTGTTTGAATCAATGCTCCAAGAAAAATATTTTTTGAAATGATTTGTTCAACTGCAGATAAATATCAAGGTTATATGGAATACAATTCTTTTTTTTTTTGTTTCTTTAATGATGAAAATAAAATTATCACAAACTTTTTGTACACTTATTCTTGTTTCCTTCTTTCGTCTGTTAGATATTTTTTTTTATTTACAACTTAGTAGAGATTTTTAAAAATGCTATTACCTACATTAGTCAATGAAACAGTACTTAATACTTTATGGATAGCTATGAGCTGTCAGCGCGGGGCGGAAGCTCCGCCCGCTAAGCACTATTTCTGGTATTGAATATTGAAAGCCAACTAAATACATATTCTGAGGTACCTACAGTACATTATCCTGCTATTAAAACGTTTTATTTCAAAAACCTAATGTGCTATTCTTACTGACTTAGACCCTCCCGCGCCGTTCGGCGCATTTGCTGGCAAGCTGTTTCCACAAAACTCTGTCACTGGCAATGTCTGAAGCCTCTTCCCACCTGCTCTGAGGACCTCCATGAAAGTGTGGCGCCAAGTTGTACTAAGATGTCATTGCAATTCTTATTATGCGTAATTCATTTTATCGGAGAACATGTCCCGCAAACCTCATGCGACGTTCTGTCACAATCTTACTAAGGGGTCGACTCCCACTTCGGCATAGGATTTCCTTGATTTAGACCCGATCTCTATAACTGACTCTTAAATCCGTCTTAGCCATCTTGTAGAGCCACATTTAGTGCTTTTCAATTTCGGCAGATGACTATTCATTGCATTTTATTAATGGAGCCCAGCCACCTGTAGACGTGTAACTTCTCTTGATTACGATCTTTGAATTAGGTGACTATTTGCTTTAGATATTATATCGAAAAGGGAAGTTTTATCGTCAAAATCACCTGTTGTGGGGGGGGGGGGGGGGGGGGAGTAAACTAAAATATATCTGGAGTTTTTTTTTGTTTTTTTTTATATTCAAAACTCCATTTAGCTACGGTCATAGAATTTGGTGTAGTAGTTTGCTTTAGAAATAATATTGAAGAGAGAGGCTTTCAACCTTAAAGCGCTCTGTAGGGGGATTTTGAACTCAAAACTATCTTGAGGGGTTTTAAACTTTTTAAAAAGCCATCTGAAGGAGAAGGGTTGAAACTCAAAACCCCCTATTGGCTTGGCTACGCTCAAAGAATTTTAGTGTGTACCGGTAATTTGCTTTTTTTTATATTGAAGAGGTATTTTTTTAGCATCAAACCCCTTTGAAGGGAAATTTAAACTCAAAACACCAAATAGGCTTGGCTACGCTCATAGCATTTTGATTGCGAAATATGTTTTTTTATATATTGAAGATTTATTTTTTAGCTTCAAACCCCGCTGGCGGGGATTTAAACTAAAAAACCCCTTGGCTATGCTCATAGCATTTTAAGTGCGTAATTTGCTTTTAATTTTATATTGAAGAGGTATTTTTAGCTTCAAACCCAGCTGAAGAGTGGTTTAAACTCAAAGCCCCTTTGGCTACGCTCATACAGTTTTGAGTGTGTAATTTGCTTTTTTATATTGAAGAGAGGTTTATCGTAAATTTTGGAGAGGGGTTTAAAATCAAAATCCTCCTTAGATGTGCTCTTGGAATTTGAGGATTGTCGTTTGCATTTTCTTTTCTGTTTTATAGAAGAGAGGGATTTAAATACAAAACTCCCTGGCAGGGGGTTTCAAACTCAAACCCCCCCCTGGTAGGGAGGCTTTAAACTCAAAATCCCCTTGGCTGTGCTTGGGCAAGTGATGGTTTAGTATTAAAATTTCACCTAAAATAAACCAAATTAAAGCAAAAAAAACAGTCACTGAATAACGACACCCCCCCCCCCTTGCAGGGGGGGATTTCATTTCGGAGGGGGGGGGGTTGACCATGCGTTCCATTGGATAACGTATCAGTCAAAATATACCAACACGACGCGTGTAAACTTTAAACGGCTCTATCAACTCACCAAAGAGAGGTGCAGATATATTCTGAGTGGTATGCCTGTCACTTCTTGTTAAGTGACATTTGATTGTGAATATTAATGTAATTCAAGATGCCTTGTTTCTCAATGAATTGTTGTACTACTTGATGTCGCGTATGTCTATTTTAGTTAGTACAGAACAACAGATATTAAAATTCACCAATTAAAACCTTGATCAGCAGACAATATTTATTTGACCATAAAATAAAATGACAGTTCACTGGCAATTCCACCCATCAATGCGATCACATGAAATAATTCGCATAATTATATAACATAATCCAAATAGAATGTTATCAAACGCTCAGCTAGCAATACTCTCAACTTAAAATATAAGACACGTCTGTCTTCTTCAAAATACAAGGCATCTACTAAATTCTGACCATGTGGTCAAAATCTTAAAACGAGATTTTCTTCCCATAATTCATAACTCTCCCGTGCAACATCATAATTCCGATAAACAAATGTACCCCGTGCTTCACAACTCTATTCATGTCACTGGCGAACTAACAATGGTGTGACAAGGCCTTCGATTTCCAAGATAATGGATGAGTGCAAACCCAGTTGTAAAACCTGCATATTTTGGCACACGTTTTCCTCCGGGCTTTCTATTTATCTTTACATCTTTTGCGCCTATTCTAAAAATGCTTTCCTCTGTGAGCCCGAGATATTTTTTTTCTCTTTAACAAGAGTTTAACAGAAGTGCGTTATATATATATATATTATATCTTGTAGTGAACTTCTATTTGTATACTTATAACTTTTTAGCTATTTAAATACCGGTACTTATAACAACACATTGAGATAAAATAAAACAAACAAGGATTGTAATGTATCAATACATTTTAATCAAACATGCAGTGAGAAATTTCAGACAAGGATTTTATCCAAAATAAGAGCAACAAAACTTCTTATGTGCGCAACATTGCCACAACAAAACTTCTACTTCAAGTCCTGTGTGCAACATAGCCACAACAAAACTTCTACTTCAAGTCCTGTGTGCAATATTCCCACAATCAAATCAATGTGGCACGTTCTGTCAGTACGTTGGTAAAACCAAGCCAGCTTATAAAATAAAGAGAAGCTAGTTGAGAATGACAAAGTCAAAACAGCATCGAAAATGATTTTACTTTCTAATCCTTCGTATTAAGCCAGGATGTAAGAACTTTTCTTCACTGAACTATATAGGTGTTTTGACAGTAATAAAGACACAAAAATTACTATTCTTGAAAAAAAATCAAGGAACCACAAACTAACTTATGGTTTTAATCTTCAAAGCATTGAATAATAAAAGAATATAGGAGTTTATATTTCATTTTATATTTTAGTTGAGTTTGAGTCTGACAGAACGTGTCACCAATGATAAGAGAATATCAAAGCAACCAACGAATAAGTGAGAATATAGAATCCTAGACTTTGGAGGGAGTTTGTACAGGTGAACAATGACAGAGATAAAGTGTTCAACTAATGACTTCATTCAATCTATGTACACAGACACCAAACACTTGGCAGGCATGTTTAGTGGAATACAACTTAAGGACTGCTCCTACATCACTATACATGACAATTTCTTGAAATTGAAAAACAAAGTTTTAGTAGTCCAAACTGTCATGATATACTGGCTTGTTTTTTTATTTTATATTATCAGACCTTTCTACAATCTTAACATAATACTCCACCCTCTTTTTTGTCTGTTATTTTCAAATTCTCTTGACCTCTCTTTAGTTAAAAAAAAAAAAAAAAAAAAAAAACTATTCATAAAATAATTATTTTTTTCTTTTAGATAAAATTAGGAAAAGGCTAAAATAGAAACAGCCATCTACAACCAGAAGGCACCTTGGACACAGACACATTGAGACACTCGCATCTACCTACAGGATTAAATAACATGTGAACCCAGTCAATCAATCAGACATCTTTCTATAAAATAGAGCATCCTTCCAAGCCCATTACCCTCGGTACAAAGGAACAGACAGATCTTGACATTTAATAAAAAGGAAAATATTCCAAGGGAAATAAGAGCATGATACTGCAATGTAAAAACAAAAGTCTGCACTATCTTTAACTAACGTTGAGACAAAGGAATAACATTCTGATCCAACATCTCAATGATGAGAATTGGGGAAGTCATGAGTACAATGTGGAAATCTGATCACTGATGTCAATCAAAAATAAAATTAAAAATTTCTAACATTAGACACAAAATACAAACTATGGTGTGATAAATTATTATATTATTCATAAAGATCTGTCCCCACTGTAAATCTACAAATAGCACACTGGGAGCTAGCACATAAAATAAGACAATGCATTCACCCACAAAGGGATCATTGATAAAGTGATGATATTGCAATGAAAATAACCTGCATATAAACATTAAAACAGTGAAACATTTAAATGAAAAAAAAAAAAAAGAGACCATATGTCAATAGAGTCCATAAAATGAGTTCCTTAAACTCAACTATTTGACTAATGACTCTGTGACTGCCCCAAGAAACAAGGCACAAAAAAATACCCACATTCTAGCCAATGAATGAACATGATTTATGATGGCTGGATTTTTTATTTTTTTTTTACTAATGACTCAATTGAAGACTAAATTGTGCCTATCTCTATCTATTCCAGTAGATTGAAGTGCTCAATATCTACAATAGTTAGAAGTTCAATATATATTTTCCAATCACTTCAGTTATTTCAATCTCTTGTCTACAGATTGAACAAAACATTTGCAGGGGGAAATCATTAGTCATGTGCAAGCATTAGACTAACCCAGGACCTTCTCCATTTTGCAGCCACAATGACTGGGTTGAGACACTTTGTCTATGAGTTTCATGAAACATTTTCTGATTGGGTATATTAGGAGAAAAATGAGAATTTATACCCAAGACAAACAATTTGTGAAATGGGCCAAAGTTTCAACATTCAAATGATAACCCTAAAAGGTTGGACACAGGAAGCATGAAACTCATTCAACTTGAAAGAATGATAATACAATTAATTTTTTTTTTTTTAAATGTCCAATTACATGGACTTATAAACTGTTTCTTTCAGATTTAATCCCTTTTTAGTATCCTCTCTGGACATGGACAAAACAAAAAATTAGAATGTTTAAAAAATTTGTTGATGTGAGAATGGAAATTGCATGCTCTTGAAGGAACTCTTTGGACGATGATGATCACTAAAGGGCTAACCTACTTAAAGTACAACACTAGATCATAAGTTCATCAACTAGGAAATCTTTTGTACAGATGTGACTTTTAGCATCCACCTTATCCTTCTGACTAGTCTAACACTAATGCTAAGGTTGAAATGTACATGTGTCTTCTGTCTAAAGAAAGTTAGAAGCAGGTGTCTTCAGATGTAATTATAAAAAATGATAAAATAGTCTGTGACCATAACAAATTTCAAGCTATTTCTTATGGTAAATTTGTTTTTTTTATAAATCTATTACTGATCAATTTTGGGAACAATTTTCACCAAGGTAAAGAATCCCAGCACATCAATCCATGCACTGAACTTGGTAAATTATCAATCCAAAGTTTGATGGACATTTTTATAAAGACCAGTACACTTAGCATAAACCATTGTCAAATGCCAATGGAACTAAGCATAAATGTACCCCAATCAAAGATCCACAAAGTTCAACAAATCAACCTGGGAAAAGCCCTGAACAGAATATATTAAATAAATACATGATAAATATACTTTTATGTATATCCTGACAAATGCACAGCAGCCTGTGTGAGCCATCACTGAACTATTAACTCACAAGTCTTCAAAGTCTTTAAAAAATGTAACATTTCCTGCAACACAAAAAATGGGTTAAAACCAAAATGTTTTGTTTTGCGTAAGATGACCATATAATCCTGATCACAATAGGTACGGCATGAAGAATTTCAAGAAAACTGGTTAGCATTGTGATGTGAAAAGGTGCATATATGATATGCCATTAAGTATTTACTTTTGACTATAGGCCGGGAAAAAAGACAATTGCTTAGATTCAATCAACTCTTGAATTCCCACAAGATATTGTCTCCTTTGCTAATTACATAGAGATTTGTTTATTAAAATGACTTCAAAATGGCATGTGTTATTTACCTGTAAGATAAGATATGAAACTATGTACAAATATTTGTTGGTGGATAAGTTGATACCTGTAACAAACCAACCATTTGCATGACAAGGGGAAGTAATGATGTAGACAACAATGGATAACAACAGAGGACCGAAACAAATACATTTTTGTTTATATGTTTCAATATTAACATTGGGCAGGAGTGAGTTCATCTATCTATCGCAGATGGTGATAGTGACGTTGATCCCCAGGTTGCCATGATCAGCAAACAACTGAGCTATGTTGGTGTCAAACACTAGGCAATCACTGCTGGCTATGGCTGACTGTATACCATCATGGATGCTTCTTGGCGCTGCCTCCCAGGTTAACCTGCGCCTGTGGCCATTAAGTTCTAACCTAAATACAGACACAGTAGAGTACTATAGTACTATTTTAAATGTAAGGAAAAATAAAATCAAGTTTTACAAAAGTAGGTACCAGTATGTAGAACTCACCAGTTTTTATATTCACAAAATGTTATTGTGTGGCATGTACAGTGATTTGCTGCAGTAATTTTATTCAGATTAAACTATTTACTTTTAAACCTTAGTTAAAGTATTATTTCCCCTTTCAGACCTTGCAATCTACATGTAAAGGTCATCTGTTTCTGTAGCCCATGGTTTACAAGGGTGTCATGAAGCCAGCACAATGACCAACTACCTTTACTTTTCCCCCAACTAATGTCAGGTACTATTAGAGCTGGGTGGGCTTAGAGACGCCCTATAGATCCCAAAAGTAAAACTCCCAATTTCAGCAGGATATGAATCCAGGAAACCTGGCTCAGAAGCCAAGTGCTTAAACACTCTGCAACTGCACCTCCAAGATGCAGTATTATAATGGAGAAATCATTATCTCCACCAAGAGTCTAACTACTTAACATTCCTCCAGCCCATCCTGTGTGCACAAAACTTAATACTCTTTCAAATAAATGTCCAATATTCTAAAAATAAACAAGCATAACTAAAGAGCAGTTAATAGCAAAAATATTTCTTTGTCCCTCAAACCTCTATAGTATAATTTATGAATTTGGTATAACTTCAAACATCACAATGAGAATAGCTGCTGAGCACATACCTGTATATGAAATTCTCAGCCTGTTTTCGCGTGCCTATAAGCTGAACAATAGCATAGAACATTTGAAGCCCATCAATTTTTTCCTGCTTTTCAAGAACAAGCATAAAATTGTGACCAAAACATGATTGCATCATCACCCAGTCCACTGCTCCCGGGAGATTAATATCTGTTGCCAGAAAAACTATGTCTTCACCTAGCAACCAAGAAAGAAAGGAAACAAATGTTTCAAAAGTTAATTTCTAAAAGTCTTTGGATTTATATGATACCAGCTTGTGAGGCCTTGTAAGGCTTAATAATAAAACAAAAACATTTACAAAATTTATGAGACTTTAAAATTGTCAGGTGTGACCGTAAGACAGAAGCTTCTAATCTCATTAGGTGTTATCAATGTTTTAACTATAACATTGACTGCTGGTTCAATGACCAAACTATAACAATATCCATCAGAACTCTTTTTGACACTCCTTATTGATTGTAGTTGCTGTTAGTTCAATGACTGAATTATAACACTGACTGCTGTTGGCTTAACACAAAATATTTTTTGAAAGAACATTTTTTTTATGTACTCTTTTTTTTTTATTGTTTATTTTTTTAATATGAGATTAATAAAGATATATAAAGGTCTCCTCCTTTAAAAGCAGAAAATACAGCATTTAACTGATTATGTGTAATATTTTACCTTGCAATGTGGTTATGCTTTTATGGGACTGCATGAGATGTGGCATAACTTGCTCAAGTGAGCCTTGCCATTTGCAGGAGGCCCCAGGACATGGACATGTATAAGGCCTGAACAAAAAACAAAAAGGCAACAAAATATAAATGTTCTGCTAGCAAAAATAAATGTTCTTTACTGCATCACTATTAATCAAGACATAATTCTGCACTGATCTCCTCGTTAGATTCTGTTGGCTCCAGTCACAACGTATCAAGTACAAGGTGGCTACGCTTTGTCATCAGTGGATCTATAACAGTTAAATGCTCTTGTAATTTAAGAAAATGTTATATCCCTCAGAGAGACCCGCGCTCCATGGGATCAATGCTTCTAGTTGTGCTGCATTATCCAGTGAAAGTTACAATTTGCTGGCTTTTTCAGTGCAAAGACCAAAGGTATAAATTCACTCCCCATTGAGCTCAGACAAACAACATACTTCACTACATTTAAGAAGAACTTTAAGACCTATCTGTTTCAAAACTTATTTTCAATTAACCGTTTTTATGCCTGTTATGTTCTCATAGTGTTTTCCATATGCTAGGACAAATTTGTACCAATGCTCCTTCTTCCCTAGCGCTATCAGAGCATGGAATGGGTTGCCTGAGCTAGCCAGAAAAACCAGTGACTTGGCAGAATTTAGGTCATTGGTTAATATGCACGGCTAAATGCATGACGCGTAATCATCTTCTTTTTTGAAGTAACGTCTGTATTATATAAGATAAGATAGTGCTTCGAGTCTGCATTGTGCTATACAAATTAAATTATTATTATTCTCCAAAGATAAGATGATAGACATAGGATTAAGCATGTAATATACCTGTGTTCACAAGTGTCTTCATGATCACTTTTCTCTGTGTGTAGCAGGGTAGACTGGCATCCATTGTTGGAATATCTACAGGGGAAAAGCACAGACGCTGCCACTTTCTCCATAGCCAAGTTACGGATGTTGCCTGATAATTTTAAAAACATACTTATTTGAAAGTTTCAATGTTTTTGTTAGAGAAATTGGTGGAATATGGAAACAAGAGCCACCAATAAGAGTTAAAAGACACAGGATGATGTTGTAGTGGAAAAGAAAAAAATAGGATTTAACAAATTTATATAGTTTCATGCCATATTCCAGACAAAGACAAATGTTTAAGACAAGATTGATTTTCAAATAATGCCAAAAAAACATAATAAAACATTCTATAAAAGAAATAACCAGAGGACAATAATAATCTGATATGTATAAAATGTAGAATTATAAAAGTAAATGGAAAATGTTTTCGGTTAATTATTCTTATTACTTTATAGGTATGATAGTTACGTCTTAAGCTGCACATTAGGAGGGCCCAATAGTTAATTCAAGTAAAGGCAAGACTCACTCCACTTTAAAGGGTGATGGATTGTTGTAGCATGTTGGTGGTCAAGTTTGACATGGAACATTATTGTAAACCACCACAGAGACTTCTACTGTGCTCTTTTGTTCCCATTTACTAGACTGACCAAGTATTTCTTCACAAGAACTAGCAAAGTCAATGTTTCCTTACCAAAAAGGACCTCTACGAATAGGACCAGTGATAAGTAATGACAAGATTTAACAATGTCCAATATTTCCTTACCTAAAGGACCTCTACATGTGATAAGTATTGACAAGATTTAACAATGTCCAATGTTTCCTTACCTAAAGGACCTCTACAAGTTGGACACATGGTAAGTTTCTGTCTACAGGACTGACATACAATGTGACCACTTTGACACTGCATGATGGGAGGCAGTGCATAATCAAAACAAACTGGACACTCAAAATAGCTGGCAAGATCTGAGGTGCCATTGGTTGAGCCTGCCCCTTCAAATAAATAAAATAAATAATTAAAACAATAGAGCTATTGTAAAAAAAAACAACAACTAATTCCTAACACAAGGAAACATTTTTTATGGCTAGAAACATATAAAAAATGTGATCAGGGGTGCAACCCATGAGACCAAGTAAACCCTGAAACCCGAATTTCCAAATTTGACAAACACTGAAATCATAAACCCCAAACTTTACCAACCATGAAATGTCCAGCATTTACAAGCACCAAAATTTTATGAAAGAAGAAGAGTAGTAAATTACTTCCTAGATCTATATCATAATATGCCCCCATGTTTTAAATATGTAATTAGTAAGCCTATCATTATAATAAATAGAGTTAGTGTCTATTTATTGATAAAGCTTGTAATACAAGTTAAGAGGATTTAGTACAATTTTATATTAACAATGTTTGTACACCCCCCCCCCCCCCATAACACAGTTATTTTAAATGATGTTTCTCTCTCAACATTTTTTCACTCATTATTCCTTTGAAGCAGCCTACTTTAATCAACACTGATAAAACTGATTCCATCAATGTACATGCATCGACCAGTAAATCTATTTCAACAAGATAAAATTGATTTGAGATTTAGTCCAGATCTACTCCAAAATGAACATTTAGATTTAGTTTCTAATATTTAAATGTAGACCTAGACTTTTTCTAGTTCTGATCTAAAAACGATGTAAATATGGTTATCTAGTCCATCCTAAATCTAAATCTTACCTCTTTAATACTCTAGACCAATATAGCTCTAGACATAGGCTAAGGCTCTATATTGAACCTATACAAATATTAAAATATAAAACACAGAAAGAAAAAATAATAATTTCGCACTCGTGAATTTTTTTCTTTCTATTTCTAGATCTAGGACTAGGTACGCAAGTAGATCTAGACTAGACCTCGCCTTCATCTAGACTATATCTATACTAAATACAAGAATTTACAGTCTATATCAGATCTAGATTAATCATAGAAATTGATCTAGATTTAAATCAAGCCGATTTGAGGCACGTTCCGTACATCTAGAAATTCTCAGAATG